CGTTGGAGCCATGTTTACGATCAAATAAAAATAAAATAACCTTTACAGCTCAAAACAAAGCCGCACGTTTATGGAAATAGCTGACGAAGACCCGATCGATGTCAATTGAAAACCTTCACTTCAACGACCGTTAGGTAAATATTGCTACAAACAAAGCATCGCACAACACATTTTTATTTCCTCCAAGTCGAAACAGGAAACAACAGCTACGAATTGGAGGATTCTGTTTGCCGCGAGCGCCACCTGCTGTCTCGGAGTGGTACACACTGTAACGTTGACACCAAAGGTTCAGCATCTTTTTGTTTATTAACTTAATATACAGAACACAAACATTGTTTGTCAAAGATACAAAAAAACAAAAAAACAAATCTACTAAAATATGCTGCTATTCAAGGGAAAATGTGATACACATTTAGATTTGAGAAAAAAAATAAAACAATCTACTGGTATGGTTCTGCTTTACATAAAGACATTTATCAACAAGTGGATAAGTCACATCTGATATCATACAAGATGCAATTTTTTTCATATCAACTGAAAGATGACAGCAGCGTAAAACCCAGATGCAATAAAGTCCATAAGTATAAAAAGAAAATTGAGGGATGTTTTTCAGGGGAACCTTTAAATTCAGAGAACTGGTTCATTTCTACTGCTTTTCAGTTGAAACTGAGAAAAATACTGCTAATAGTACTAATTCAAAATATAAAATCTCATTAGATTGCAAAAATACCATTCAATCAAGTCCAATGTTAAAAAAAGATAAGTTTAAAAGTCGGATAAAAAATAGATCAACTTAAACATCAGATTTTATGCAATCTGTTACCTGAAAATAGAGACGCGGCTGCAAAAAGGAAGCAGTGGCTGCATAGAGTTGGTTAAACACAGAAATCATCTCAGTGCAAGTGCAATATTGAGGGAGAAAAAAATAAAGTGTCATTGAGCTCATATGAGAACCAAGATTGCATATTTTATTTATATATTCTATTCTGCTCCTCAGAATAATTTGTAGTGGAGGATGCCATGAACTGTAGTTGCACTTTGACTAAAGTTAAACTTCCCTTCTCACGATTTACAAGGGGCTGTTGACAATATGGTAAAAGTGAACAGAAAAGAAGATGAGTAGTTGGTTTTATTCTTTAGCTTTTCAGTCGCATGGTAGCAGCAGCGCTTCATTAAAAGTATTCTTCGAATCTCTCGACACGTTTCCATCTCAGGTCTGTGCCTCAGTCTCTGCCGGGTTGTCAACTCTGAAAAAATAAATACATTTAGAGCTTGAAGAAATGGTTGTAACAGCTTAATATTTATTTATTAGATTCATAAGTTCAATAATCAAGAGCTGGAACATCCCACCTGCTCAACACGTAAATCATCTGCCCAGGATCTGCAAACGGCCTGAAAAATCAAATGTACATTTAGAACCAGCTTATTTTCAGTTAACTGATTTAAATAGTTGGAAGACCTCAATTTTTTTTTAACATTTGTACGTTTTCAAGGGTAAAAAAAACAGTTAAATGAAAAAAAAAAAAAAAAAAAACTCTTACCCATCTCCCCAGTGATAAAATGCCTGATCCTGGTAAAACATCGACAAAAACAGCCATATACTTATTGTCTCGGCCCAGAAGATCACAAAAAGGAACCATAGCGATGACAGAAGGATTTCACACAACATAATTGAGCTCTGTAAGAAAAACAGATCAATATAAACCCACATAAAAAAATGTAATTCCGCTTGATAGAAATCAGCTTGGACAAAACACCACTAAAATTTCATTTTTTTTTTTTTTCAGATTTAAAATATAATGTCAGACTCTTAAAGAAAAAAAAGAACAACATAACATATCTCTTTTCCTAACAGAGGCAACATCTTATGACTCTTTGAAATCCTACACAGAACATTAGTTGAATATTAGGTCCAAACAATCAAGTACCTGGGTTGATTTTTTTTTTTATCATCTCTTTGCTGTGCAAACCAGCCTTAAAAAACAAAAAAAACCCCAAAAAAAACAGCGCAGCTATTTTGCTATAAACACATAAAATATTGGTGTTTGCCCTTTGTTTATCTGTGTTGCCAAGTGATGAACTGGCAACCTGTCCAGGGTGTAGCCCTACTCTCGTCCAATGACTGCTGGAGATAGAAGGAGGCGGAGTGTCCGTCAGTTTGCTGCATGGGGGGACAAACTGCTCCTCAACATCTCCTGAATAAATGAGGGAAATCTTTGATTCCAAAGGGTGGAAAAGTGACATCCTTACTCTGCACATTAAGGGGGGATAGTGTGGAGATTGTTCATATGACATGGGCAAGACTTTGGAGCTGTTTAAAAAAAGACCCAGCAGGAAAAAAAGAAACTTTCCCAGAGATAACTTGTTTCCTTTTATTTAAAAAGGATCTTGACATGTAGGAGAGTCATTAAAAGCCCTCAGAAGCAGGTCAGCCCTTTACAATGACAATAGAATTGATTCTGCATCCTTGTAAAGAAAAGACTATGAATAGATGGGTGAACTTTGAACTTTCTTTTTTAACTAGTGTAATAAAATGTAGTTAATCAGTATGTAAATCTTGATCTCCCAAATGCAATCAGCCTTGTGTTCATTATATTGATATGTTTGAGAGATTTTATCCATAGCATTAGCCACAGAATCAATATTAGGTCTACTTGCAAATATCCCCCATAAGTTTAAGGTTTCTGCCTGAATATTCATAATAGCAACATTAATGGGCTGCATAACAATGTTGGCTAGCGTGGCTCCAAACAGATACAAATAAATAAATAAAAATAAGCAATACTTTAAACGCTCAGTATGAAAAACACTTTGATTCCCCAGTCTTTGCGTTTTTATGAGGTAATTCTGTGCGGCATTGCACATTTCAAACATATAACCATGTGTAACGTTAGCAAGAGCAAACAGATTCGGTATCTTTTAAAGTCACAGTATTCATCAAATGCATATTCAAGATAAGTCGGTATCTGGCTTCAACAAGCCCAACATTCTTTGTATTTAAATCTGAATACTTACTCAGATCAAACACTGTTGAGACTGCATAACTTTTACAAGCTAGCTCGTTTGCTGTTGTTTACAGCGATCGTCACATTTTACGTCAGACGCATTTCCGCTTATGAGCCGATCTGATTGGATGGCGGTGAAGCTTAGAACCCAGTGGGTCTGTCAGCCCACTTTAAAGGGGCCCGCACCAAGCAGGATGTTTACAACAACATCTCTAAAAGTATTTTATTTATTTCTTTTTTTTTTTTCATTTTTATATTACTACTTGAAAAGCGAACGTTATAAGTTTTTAAGAATTTTCAAGAACAATGTCGTATTTAATTTATTATTTTTTTTCTGATTTTGGGGTTACACTAATGAAAAATTAAAAAAGAGAAGAATTAACTTTGAAATTTCTAAATGTTAAACCATACATATATGCAGGATGATTTATCACATAATTACGTATAAAGTTATACATTATGATTGAACCCCATGTTTATTTAAACTGAATCAAAGTATCAATCAAATCAATCTAGCACCCTAACTAAATTAACATCCCCATTTTGATAATGTTTCTTCCCCATGCATTAAGCTGTTGCAGAACGGGAGAGCTCCTTCAGTGACAGACTGCTGCACCCTAAATGCACCAGGGAGAATGATCACAGATCCTTCCTCCCAGCAGCTGTAAGGCATTATAACCATCACTGTTCCCAACAAACGCAATAGGATGTTATATTCATGCTGATTTTTGCACAATTTCTATCTTAGTCAGTTAAATAACATGCTGCTGTCATTTTACACATCTCTGATGTTGCTGCTATTTTCAAATATCCATTATTGTGAAAATGTCCATAGTTGTATATTGGGCATTTATTCTCTAGGTGCACAGTATTTGTATTATTAAAAAACTTTACAGTACAGAATTTTTATATTTTTTTTAACTCTTCACTATTATGTTATTCTTATACACTCTAAGGTCCACATTTGTGTGACAATTTTTTCTATAATCTTTTTACTCCTCTAAGCACCAGAATTTCCCCATCGTGGGACAATTAATGGATTTTCTATTCTATTCTTTTCTAAATCACATAACTTGACTTTTAATCTCAAAATGTGTAGTTTTCCATTTCAATGTGAATTTAAATCTCAAAATTAAAAGGTCATCACTGTAATTTTAAATGTATAAATTTCTTTATTATAGCTATAACCAAGAAAGTTGAAATAACTATTTTCTATCTCAAAATCTTAATGACAGTGTGTTATTTTTTTTCCATCAAAAGCCTGTTTGCTATTTTTCAAGCATAAACCTGTAAAACGTATGTAATCATACTTGTTCTGCCAATTAATTTGTGTATTCACGTCTTGTTTGGATGCACAATTTGGTAATGTAATACATCTCCTTTGTCATCCATTAAAATTCAAACATTTTTGCTTATCAAAAAATGTTTAGCCGCTGCAGGATGCCTATGTCAGATTCAGATCTCATTGGTTGATTTAAAAAGCTTAGGGAGAATGGTGGAGACAATGACATGGTGGAAAAAAGCTGTGACAAAATCAGGCTTAAATTTTATATTTAACAAAATTGTAAGGTTTTCCTTATGTGCAATCGAAATATAATTTTGTTTGGAATTCTAAATACTGAAATATCTGCATTCAAAGATGTGGATATGATTCTTTTCACTCCTCTATACATAATTTGTGAGCTCTTGAAACACGTGGTAAGAATAACTTGCAGTTATAATCATTGCTTTTTGTCATTTCCTGAGTAAAAATAGCATTTAAAGTACTTTTTCTTTTCCAAGTTTTTTCCCCCCTTTTGCAGTTCTGTTTTGCTTAGTAACATGGACCAGATATGTATACAAATTCAACTTTGCAAAACCTAAGTTGATTACAATTAAATAAATGAGCTAAATCTTAGTTGGACTTGAAATATATCGAACCAGCATTATAAAACACATCTCTCCATATTTATGGATTTAAAAAAGGGAAATATAAACAAAAAACCCACAAGGCAGTTATACTAAAATTACTTTATTACAGCTGATTTCTGTTCAATATCCCTCTGCCAACACAATAACATGGTAAATACAATACAAACAATATAGTATTGGATCCTATTCTGTTTTTCCATTTTTTTACACAATTTAAATCCACTTTCAGTACTTTACCATCTCTCATGTAGTATCTTCATAACATCTGACATTCAATAAGAAGCTCCACCATTTACACATTTTAATACAGGTTATAAATTGTAGTGGTAATGTGCCAAAGAATACTGACATCTTCAAAGAAATGTTATCTTTTCATCATCTGTCTGTAACTCCACAATTGCTCAACTGACCTTTTTTTTTTTAACTTAAACCCCAAAGTCAGAGCCAACTGATCTCTACGATTCATTTCTAATCAACAGTCCCCCAACAGGTGAAAGCTTGGAGATGAAACAGATGCACTGATGATCGGGTTTGGCGACTCCGGTATAGCACAGTGTTTGACCGAAGAAAGAATCCTTTTCAGTTGCTGATTCACAATCCTGTATCCCACTTGCTTTCAGTCAGTAGGATATAAAAGATGAGATATACAAAACAATAAAAAGTATAAAATAAAGTACGGGCTTGTGAGGCAATTTAACTGAAGGCAACGTCCAGATTTAGCCACTTATTGGACATTTAAGGGAGTCAAAATGTTCACATGAATGTAAAACTTGGCATGTATGCGAGGTTTGATTGGCTTAACATTCAAATACTTGGTCTTGGCTTTTGACATGTGGTAAATGTTGATAAAGAACTGAATACGCTTTACTTGGATGCATAAGCATTAGGCCAAAAAAAAGAAGAGAAAATGTTTTGGGGGCCATGTACAGTACTATTTTATTTATGCATACTTTGTGTTAAGAAAAATTATTAAGATACAAGCACTTTTGCTGGTATCACTTTTTGAAGATATTAAAGAACGTTAAGAAAGAGCTAGGATCTATGTTTAATTGCAGCTGTGAATCATCTTGGATTGAGGACAAAATCCCTAATGCAGATTGCACTAGGGATAACAACTCTTTATCTTTAATAAGTGGTATTTGAAGGAGATGACAGTATACACAAGAATAAAAGTATCAAGTGTGGCACTAAGAATATATTTCAGACAAGAAATATAAACTTATAGGAAAGGGTTGATACAGTTACATCAGGCCCAGTTTAGGAAATTATTTTGCGGTGAACAAATTATCCAAGCATTGCTCTTAAATACAAAAAAAAAAAAAGAAGTTAATATTTCCACTTGTGAGTCACAGAAGCATAGAATTAAATCAGTCATTTAAACCTTAAACTTCACTGAAATGTCTGCTGAAATATTTAAGGAAGTATATTGTTAGCCAAAAAGGAAAAAAAAACTGATCTTAAGGCAAACGAAATAATGGCTTAAATGTGTGCTAATGTTTTCACAACCCGTAAACTTTTTAAAATGTTCTCATATTACAACCACAAAGTAAACTATCTTGTTAGGACTTTTATTTATTTTAGATTAAAACATGAATGTGTATGGCTTTAATAGTAAGCAGCAGCTAAAAGATCCGTTACTTAGGGTACAGATTACACCGATAGGGCCTTTACTAGCAGACCCTCCCAAAAATTGTGGATCTTGTGAACATTCTGCAAGAAGAACGCCATTTCTGGGAGTAAAAAAAATGATCAAATGTAAAGTTTGCCAAAAGTGATGCAGAGAAGACAGCAAAACAAATGGAAGGCAGTCCGATACATGTGAAAAACTTGTAAACTTGCAAATGATAAAAGCCTGCCACACATTTAAGATTCTTATGTCAAAAATACCATGTAGTCTTTTTTTATATAACATCACCGTTATAGGCTACACATAAAATCTGGATCCAATTAGTGTGGTTGTAATGTGACAAAGTGAAAAAAGTTAGGATATGAATGCCTTTTGCTAGACGATGTCTAACTTACAACCCTTCACCAGAGTGTGTTGGCTGAGCTTAATTACATCCCTAATGTTTAGTGTTTATTTTTATCTAAGCCATTTTTTTAATAGTAGTGTTAAAGTTCAGTAGCTCAAAGCTTGTTGTCTTGGACATAATTCACTGTCTGCACCTTAAAAGATTTCGGAGTTAACTTTGTTCATCCAAACACACCAAACAAAAAAAACACTGTATCATCCTCGCATATTTTCTTCAGCCAATGTCACACAGAAACACAAGCAGTAACAGGCAGCTACGAATTCAAAAAAAAGCCTGCAAAATGTTTTCACTTAGTCACTCTTTGTTAACATCTAAAGGTTGTTTTTGATAATCCAGGAAAAAAAAAGGAAAAAAGAAGTGAATCACAGCACAGGCAAGTCTGACTTTTCTACATGCGTACCAATGACACATTCATTCACCGGGAGCTTTTTGAGAAAAGAAGTCAAACATTAATCTTACACTCGTCGAGCTGTATAAAGTGCTTTGAAAAAGGCAGCAGTATTAAAAAGGCACTAATAAAAAATAAAGATTAGCACTATGATTGTATTTGAAGGCTGATAAGTTTCCAAGTTACAGTGACATTCTCTGGAGAGGTAAAGTTTACCCCTGAAGTACCACTCTCAGGCAGATATATATATATATAAAAAAAAACAACATGCCAAGGTAGCATTTGAATTTGTTTCTCCTCAGCATATTTAGGCAAAAAAAAAAAAAACATTTGGGAGATGTGAAAATAAAACCCCAGCCTAAAACACTATCTATTAAAGAAAGCAGAGATTAATGAAAAAAAGTAATATTTCAACTTTAGTATCTGAAACTGAAAAGGCACAGTGTTAGTAGAAGCATACGTCTAAAAACAATCGACTTGTTTGGTTCTGTATTTTGGTTGATGTCAAGAATTAATATGGAATAAAACATCCTTAAAAAAAAAAAGAGTCTAATTTATATGACCATCGATGGCCACTACAGCAGGATGGTAGACAACAGCAAACCGTCCCCAGTTATTTCTAAGGGGTTCTTCTACCGTACCACAGAAATTTGGGCCAGTGCATCACTAAACATGAATGGGAAGATTAAAATGAATGCTGCTAAATTTAACCAGTTTAATGTGATTGAACCTACATTTTAAACACGTCAAAGGCTTTAGAGTGGTGTTTTATGTGCAAAACAAGAGCAATGGCTGAATAGCACAAACTTGTTTTTAGGAAATATCCTCTGTAGAAGATAGCTGTAAATAAAAACACATGAAACTTACTTGTCGATACTCATGCTTGTGTAACATGCATTTAAGAATCTGTGTGCGCGCCGATAAACTGCTGTAAGGGTGGGCCAGGTGTTTCCCTGCCCCTTTTGACCTGAGCAACATTTATTTCGCCACACGTCCACATCTGTACAAAGAAATCTGGGAAGTAGTTTCCCAAGCAGAGATGGAGCAAAACCAGTACTCTTTCCTGCTGTGGGGCTTTGCAATATAAAGTGACTCATTGGCAGAGAGGGCTTCTAAGAGTAGGAAAGGTGCGAACCGTTGGATATTTGTGAGGTGACGCTGGAACTCCTGCTCATACCCTGCTCACTGTGCCCCCCCATTGCCTGAGGGCTTCGAGAAAGCAAGCCTCCACCATGGGATTGGCTCCAGGACATCTGTCCCCTTCCTCCCGGTGAGCCCTGTCCCCAGCCTTGCTGCATAGGTGACCCTCCTGGACTGGAAGGATAGTGGTGATGGCTGCCTCTGTTATTAGAGCCTAAACCTAAACTGCGGCTGCTCCAGCGCGACCCTTGGGAGCTCGAAGAGGGACGCAGCAGCTGATGCTGGCTGTACCCTCCAGGTGACCCGGGAAAACTGTTGCTGAGGGCCTCTGGGGAGATGTCTGCTAGCACCATGTTGCTGAAGCCCAGGCGCATACTCTCCGAGTCGAAGGCCTCAACTTCTCTGGCTTGGCGCTCAAACAGGTGCTGAATTCGTTCTGTGCGTTCGTTTTGTAGGGACTGCATTTCTTCCTCAATCTATAGGAAAAAAAAAAACAAGAGAAAATTATCTGCAGGTACAAGAGTAATAAGTTCACAGATGTAAATTAGCTGCTGACACTGGCAAATAATGATAATAAAGCATAAACATATGCTAAACAATCTTTCAGTGCAAACCAATTAAATGATTTGACTGCATAATTTAACAAAATATCTAAATAATATCTAAAAATATCTATATATAAAATACACCTTTTTTTTCCCCCAACACAGAAAGAGTCTTTGGATCCACACTCTTTACATACATGAAAGTTGAATCTGTGGTTGCCGATAGGCAATACCATAAAAATATGAAGCTCTGTAAAAGTAAATAAGTCAATATGAGCCCATTTCTCCACAAACAACCAAAATAGCTCATTTTAAATGTTTAACCTTGGGTTTAAAAAGAGCGAAAACCCAAATCTGAGCCATAAGAACATAACAGGTCATGCCATATGATGAAAGATAAGGAGGCATACAACAGGTTTTGTTTTAGCAGTAAGCTCTTGTTTTCCTAACCAGCAAATGGTTCACATTAGCATGGTGCAAAAACAGGTGGTTTTCAATTTTAGAATCCCCAACCTTCTACTTTTATCAAAACGTCCTCTTTTTCCCTGAAAACATGAACATATAACTTAGATTTTATTAAGCCTACATTGTTAGCCTGGGACTTTCTATCACTTTCTTGCTGGGTGGGCCAAGTTCAGCTCTCCATGTGCAACATAACCACTAAACATTGACAGTATTTTTTGTCTGCTTTTTGTTTCCCTTAATGCTAGTTTATTCTTTTTTTAAGATTTTACAGCTTTCGACAAACCTTTTGCTCCAGTAGCGCCCTTCGGAGCGACACCCTTTGTTCCAGGTCGTTCTTCTCGCGGTCATGCTGGGCATCCGTCTGCATCTTAATTTTGCTCTGGTAGGCATTGAGAAGCTCCAGCTCCTGCTGCAGCTGGATCTGTAATGCTTGGCCCTGAGATTCCTGAGTCGCATCCAGACGTAACTACAAACAAATAATGACAAAAACTGATATAGACCTTACTGATCATGCAACATTACGACGGTAAAAATGCAATAGATCACATGACTCTACACTTCTAGAATAACTAGACTCACCGCCTGAGATGAGAGCATTTCGTTGATGGACTGGTCATACTGCTCTGCTAAAATGGCAAGTTTGCGATGCTGCTCCTGCTTCAACCTTTTAAGGACAGCTTTGTGCTCTGATTTTGGTGTGGTCTCCAACAGGTGGTTTCTCAATGCTTTATACTGCCGGGTCTGGATCTTACATGTGTCTTGAAACTGCTTTTTGATCTGGAGCTCTTTGGACTTAAGAGAATAGGAAAAAAAACAGGAATTAATTCAATAATATATGTACATCAACACCTCAGAAAATAGAATTAGGATACAGAACAAGACAAGATTAAGTTTAGTTAATCCTATTCGTAAGAATTATTAATATTGGTCAAAAACAAACCTTGAGGCTCTTGGGTTGCTGACGGACCTCCATGGCATGTTTGCGTCTAAGCTCACGATCTCTCCGCTTGTTATACTCCTGCTGATTGGTGAGCTCCGTCTGATGCTGGAGGCGGATCAGCTCGACCCTCATCTTTTGGATGGTGTTGAGCTGGCGGAACTGCAGCTCCTGCATGGACTCATGGTGCCGGAGAAGCATAGCGTGCTCCAAGTCCTTCTGGGTCTGACGCTTGTTTAACTCCTATCACCAAAAACAGAGGAAATTACTAGAAGAACAAGGAAAAACAAACAAACAGTTAGTGTCATATTAAAGTTTAGCAGTTCTGACCTCCCGTAAATGCTGCTGTTCAATTTTATGGCGTTCCATCAGGATTCTTCTTTTGAACCTGCGGCACTCCAGCTCCAGATACTGCCTCTGTCTGCGTTGCAGGTTGGCCTCTTCTGCTGCTTGGAGGTTTTGAAAGTTCTCTTTCTGCTTTGACAACCACTCCTGCTTTTCTTTCTTGGGTGTTGATTGGTTTTCATTAAATGCCTAGGAGGAAAACAAAAACAAAACAAAGATGTTTCACCTACCTAAAGCTAAATTTGTTTCAATTACCCATTGAAAAAAATTTGTAGGAAAAGATGATGATGAACTTCCTAACCTCTTTCAGTTTCTCCTTGTGAAGCTTGTATTCCTTCTTTTGTGATTCAAGGAAGCTGCTCAGTTCTTTTTTCTGTTGACTCTGGATATGATGTTGGAACTTCTTTTCATCGTTGCTAAATGTTTTTGCCTAATGAAAAAAAAAAAAGTACCAATTTCAGCTGATCAATACAAAACAATGGCCAATTTATAAGCATCTGTCGGATCACACGTTAATACAAGTTTCCAGAATTTATATTTCCAGGAGAGATGGAATAGAGATACTAATATGAACTTTTGTTTTAGTTGTTGCCATCAAAATAGGAGTTAGATAAGCAACATGCAACTCTAGCTGAGCCACTACCTCTAATCATGAAAGTCCAACTGATAAAAAAAAAGATTTGGTTGTAAACAAAATTGAAAATATCAAACATGGATAAAAATACAAAAATAGAGAGGATCCTTTTAATATAAAAATATAAAGCAAAGAGAGTTAGAAGCAACAGTTGAAATTGTGTTATTTTACATGTAAATTGGCTGAGGTGGAGCAAAGCAAAGGTTCTCTGGTACTGTAAAACTATTGGTTATTGATTCCTTACATATGGTTTGGCAATATATCATTACATAGGCCTTTCATATCAGCTGAAATCAATAATTATTCATTAGAACTTTTTTTTAAACTTTATGAAATAAGTATAAATGGGAAAAAATGTATGTAAGCCTAACTGTATATAGACATAACCGTTAACCTTTTCACAAAAAAAAGGTCAGCCAGTCTTATGACCAACTCTGCCTAAATCCTCCAGAGTCCCATGTGGTTCTGAAATATTCTGTGAAAATATTGAACATTTTATATGCTGTATCTTATACTGGTATCGATCAGGTGCCTATCTAATATATAATTGATCTTGATTTATTACCCAGCTCTACCCTCACATGAACCCTTTTACAAATTTCAAAAAATATTACAGCAAGTCATTGCTAACTCATTCTAAGATTGATTCTATCAATGAAGAGGATCTTCTTGAGCTTTCCATATCGCGTAATAGTTTGATGATAAACAGGCAGCCAAACAGCTGATTTAGGACTAGCTCACTAGTTAGTGTTTTCAAAACAAAGTCATAAAGTCTACTTTTTTTTTCTATTAACATAATAACCCATAGATCAAAAACTCCACCTAAAAAATATCCTAACCAGCGGTATAAGAGGTTGTTTCTGGCTGGCATCTGCTATACTATCAAAAAGACATTATAATCATACCAGTACTTTGTTTCCTTAAAACATAACAGGCATAGAAAGCCTTAAAGAACAGTGCTTCTTATAACATTTATTGATTTCCAAGCAGTTTGTAATAATTATAAAATGATTAAGTAGAAATATAGAGCACTGCCCTAATATAAAAGCTGCAGAAGTGTAAAATAGTGAATAGAGTATGGGACTGATGAAATATCACCAGAACTCCAAAGTCTGAAACACCCTGTAACTTCAGGAGTTGCTAACAGTTCTCTCATGCGTGTGTTGAAAACCTACATCTTTATCCATGGATGCTTGGTGTTTCTTGACCAACTTTTCCAACTCTTGAGCAAAGTTATTCCTCTGGGTCTCCAGCTCCTTGTCCAGTCGAACCCTGTGCTCATCGATTTCAGTCTTCAGCTTGTTTTCCAGAGCCAGCAGTTGTTTCTGATGCTGTCGTCTCATTCGCTTGTAGCCTAGTATCTGCTCTCTTAGTTCAGATTCCTGCTCATGCTCTTTCATCTGGCGTGTAAGCTGAAAAACCCAAGAAGCAGTTTTTAATTAGCGTAATAGAAACACATTTTTTAGATGAAAAAACAAACTGTAAAGTTGCAATTCCATAGTGACTGCAAATGTGGATCACTAGTTTGCTTTACTCGGATTATCAATGTCTTGTTTTATCTTTGTTGCCCTCAAAAACATAACCAGCACATATGCAGATGAGATCACAAGTCTTGTATATTGCAATAGACATGCTACATTATTATATTTAGAAAAAGATTATTCTAACAACAATGCTTTAAAGGGCATCATTTAATATTATATAAATTTAGACTCATTCACATGATTAGTATGAAAACAGTCCACAGGCAAATCAGAAAAGTGCAAAAACCACAACAGTCAGAGCGGACGATTCATATGATCAGCTTATAGCAAACTGTACTGGATTATAAATGACCTAAATACAAAGTATTTATGATCAAACCCGTGCTGTACTTTTCCTATTAAAGGGTAGCGGTCAGTAATAAAATAAATCCACTGTTAGGATAGCCTATGGCTGTTAAAACTATAAATATAAACTGTGAGAACCTACTCAGCTGACCCACACAGTTTACATTTGATCATTGCTGCACTTTAGAAACGGAAATGCCATGAAAGCTGTACAAAATTAAATTTTGTTTTGTTTACACAGACTGTATACAAAACACATTTAATGACAATAAAAGTTGTCAAGTCCAAGTCTCTAATTCTAAAATTAGCAAATAAACTAGAAGCAAACAGGCCTGATTATATACAGGGTTAGAGACATGCTTCATTTTTACCCTCATATTGTTTATGTGCTACATTCAATATCCAGGGATAGAGACTAAAGCTAGCTCGGGGTAGCTATAGAAGCTAACTGCGGAGGAACAGAGGAGAACAGTGGAGAGACAGAACACTGAAGGAGAGGGAGAGACTATGGCTGCCCAGGAGAAGGACAGTGGTAACTGCAGGGAGATGAGTCTGGTGGGGAAAAATGGATTGAAGCAAAGTGTTTCTAATATCAGAGATTTTAGAGAAGAATCCCATTAATATCTGATGGGGACATCCCTAGTTATCAATAATTATCAATATTAGTTGGAGGTGTAAGAAACAGTGCAAATTCTTTGGGTTCATTTCCACATCCCTAGTAAGGATAGAGAGTATTTTACCGCTGAAGCTGTACGTATAGTTGCAAAGTCTTCACGGTTTCGTCTGGGCCTTTGAGTTTGCGCAGGAGGAGATTGTGGCTCGGTTGTGGTTCTGCTATGAGGCTCCGACTCCTCATTACGCATCTCTTGTTCCTGAAAAAGAAGCAAACCTGTCAAGCTAAAAAAAAAATACACATAAACGCATTAAAAAAACAGCGCTGTTATGATGAGGGGAAACACTGGTACACAGCACAGTGGGACATTAATCTTACAGGTTTGAGGTTTATCACCGAGCTGTTGGACATCACCGTGCCGTCTCCATCCATGTCCGGCTCGCTCTCGTCATCGCCTGCATCAGTTAGACTGTTGACGGAGCTGCTTTGGGAGCTGGCACTGATAGACATACTGGGTATGGACTGGTTGCTGCCAACGCTGTTCACTGTGCCCGTCCTACTAACACTGTTCTCTGGCTCCTGCACATACGGTTCAAGAATCACTAAAAGGGTAAAACAACGAAAAAAATATAGCTTTATAGAATAAAAGGTAAAGAGACAGACCTCATCTTCATCTTGTGCCTCGGCTGTGGAGCCATTGTGGGCTTCCTGAAACAAGATCTTCTTCACCTTACGAGACTGCAGATTGTCTAGTTCCCTCACTGCATCTTTGGTCCGATTGATCAGATCTACTAAAACTGATTCTGGTCGTTCGCGCTGGATAAATGCATGCTGTGAGCCAAAAAAGAAATCAAAGATTAATGTCGAACCTTTGTTGAAGTTTAAAACAAACCGACCATAAAGCTAAAAAGAATCTTTAAACTTCCCACCTTTAGGAGCTCCTCGGAATTCGGCCTTTCCTGAGGAAGTTTTTGAAGACAAGAATCTACAAATTTTCGAAAATAATCCGTCCTACAGCAGAGTGAAAGAAATATAATAAAATGACAGAAAGCTTAGATTATAGTACATTACAGAACATCCTGTTTTGAACCGCTGCAGAAACAAACTAATTTCTCTTACCATTCACTGGACTGCAGGGCAGGGCTGTCATTCTGTGCAATATGATATAAGGCACTCATTGCATTCATGTTGAACAGGGGAGGCTTCCGCTCAGCTAAAATCCAAAAAGAAAATCAAATTAGGCAAAATGGATACAAGCCATGAAAAAAATGGTTAAAATACAAATACGGAGGCCGTTTCTATGCAGTATATTTCAGTGATCATCGATTGATTGATATTATTTAGACAGATTTTGGTACACCCAAATTTGTTATAATAAATTTTTTTAACTTGGATAAATCCAACAAGTTTCTTAATTTATCTGGGAATGCATATTCAAGACACATATATGCAGGAGGAGTATTCAAGAATTTATAGGCTGAATAAACACAAACAAACATAAATGCTTGGTGCCATCCACACCTTTAGAATCCGTGGTTTACCAGGTAAAAGGAATGTAGACCAAGTACATGCCTGTGCACGGAAACCTTTAGAAAGTTATGTATGAACAAAGTCACATCAGTGGCAGCAATGCTTGGAAAATAGTTCTGCTGTAAAAGGAACCAGTCAAGTGACAAAGTAATGTTGATTGAGTGCAACATTTGAACACTGAAAAAGGTAATCCTTGTAAAAGCGACATACCTAATTCAATGCAGGTGATTCCCAAAGACCAGATGTCCACCTTTCCATCATACTGACCCTCATCCATGGCTAATATAACCTCAGGGGCCATCCTGGGAATAAAACATAATGCAATCTAAGATAATTATGTAAGCAAAAAGCTCAATTTTAAAAAGACAGACAAGGAAGAACAAACAAGAAAAAAAAAAAAAATCACAAACTTTAACTAGATATACTGTCGCATCTCAGTGCGCATCTTAAATTAGCATTGAAAAGTTATTTTTTTTATCTAATGTAAAATTCAAAACGCGAGTACGATTTAGATGGTATTTAAAGGGATAGTTCGGTATTTTTGACATGAATCTGTATGGCATCTCCATCACCAGCGGCATGCAATCGCACTGACTTACCCCTGGCAGCGTCCTGTGAGCAGAGTTATCGTCCAGTTTTGGTCAAGCCGAAAGTAGTCCTGCAGGTTTTTAGGAACAGCGAAATAAAACTTTTCTCTTCCCAAAACATTATGTGTTCAAAAGAGTGATATTTTCGCATCCCAAAAACATTGTAGTGGAAAAAGTCACACGTTGTTATCAATTGGTCCTATTTTCTCTCTGTTCGTATCAGTGCGCGCCGTCATTCAGACAGCGAGCCCAACAACAGCCATGTCTCCTTCCGCCGCGGAGGGAGACATGGCTGTTGTTGGGCTCGCTGTCTGAATGACGGCGCGCACTGATACGAACAGAGAGAAAATAGGACCAATTGATAACAACGTGTGACTTTTTCCACTACAATGTTTTTGGGATGCGAAAATATCACTCTTTTGAACACATAATGTTTTGGGAAGAGAAAAGTTTTATTTCGCTGTTCCTAAAAACCTGCAGGACTACTTTCGGCTTGACCAAAACTGGACGATAACTCTGCTCACAGGACGCTGCCAGGGGTAAGTCAGTGTGATTGCATGCCGCTGGTGATGGGGATGCCATACAGATTCATGTCAAAAATACCGAACTATCCCTTTAAAGTTTTTATTGCAGTTATTGTAACTTTGATGAATTACGGCTTCCAATTAATGTGACACCTTGACAAAAGAAGGTTGGACACTAAACATCACAGCTAAAGATGCTGGCTTTTCAGAGCGTTCTCTTCGCAAACGTATTGTAAAAAAGTTAAGTGAAAGAAAAACCTGTTATAGAAAATCATGCACAAGCAACATGGATAAATGTTGCCTTAATCAAAGCCATAAAATATTTAGGGAGCATCTGGAATATCGGAGTGGCTGGAATAAGTGGACTTTAAGCCAAATATATCCAGGCCATTGGTTACAACAAATAAGCTAATCCTGCACCAGACTTTTACTCATTGGTACCAATAAAAACTATTAAGCAGCCCATGTTTTCTTTATGAAAATGTTTTTGTTGACCTCCTCAGTGCACCCCTTTATCTTACCCAACCACCATTGGATGCAAGGGATGGGGATAGATGGATTTTATTCTTGTTAAATTTCCTAAAAGATTTATTTTTTAACTAAATTCTATTCATTAGATGCCCCTGTGCATGCCTGTTTACTTACCAATATGGTGTCCCAACAAATGAATTTGCTGGACAAGCAATGGAAGCCGATCCAAAGTCTGCTAGTTTCACTTGACCTGGTTCTGTCAACAGTATGTTTCCTGCCTTGATGTCTCTGAAACATACAGGAAAAAAGTTCAAGTTTTCCTGGAATGGGAGAAACAAGTGTTAACACGGAAGTCTGCTTGAAATACGCTTACCGGTGAATCATGTTGTGGGAGTGGAGATAAGCCAATCCTTGAAGAGCACCATGAGTAATTGCGGCTATTTCAACTTCTTCTAGGGGTTTCTTGTGAACTAAAAAAGAAATCATGAGGAAAGCATGAGGAAATTATGGAAAATGTGCATAGGTGAAACAAAGTTCCCGTGTACTGTCAGAGTTTACTCACCTTCTAACAAATCTGAAGCTGAGCCAAGACAGTACTCCATTACCAGCTGTTGGGGAGAGAAAAGAAAAAAAAAAAGCTCTTTTCATCTCTATTCAAAAACTTTAAGCTTCAACTAATAAATCTTTTGATCTTGCGTTAAATTTTGAATCAAAATGATCACAATATTGTCCATTCCTTATTTTTCTTGTATTATTTTTGGCATGTTAGGATTTTCAAATATACTCTTATTTTTTAGTTTTCCATGACCCTCCCACCAGGAGGAGGCCCAGGGGAGAGTCCAGGATTTGGTGGAGAGACTCTTGGCTAGTCAGGGAACTCCTCAGGCTTCCCCCAGATGAGCTGGAGGAGGGAAGTCTGGGAGGCTCTCCTGAGATTACTGCCACTGCGACACAGTCCAGGATAAATGGATGAGTTTTTTTTTTGCCGTTTTTGTTTTTGAGTGGGATATAAAATCATAGGCTCTATCTAAACATATCAGATTAGAGCACCTAGATACTGTTTCTAGCAACAATTATTTCTCCTTAATGTGGCCAACTTGAAGAACACTATCGGAAAAGCACTCTAGACTGCTGTGCAGCAAGCCTTCAGCCTTGCAGACATCATTACACAACAGAAATCACATGGACGATTCTAGTCAAACTGAAACCACAGAAAACGAAAACAACTACAAAAATACAAGTTACACAAATGTATTAATCTGTGTGACATTAATGCATCACATAAAGTACATGTGAAGCAATAATGTTCTCTGGATCTCTTTTAGGCGTTTTGTGTTTATACTCTTCAAAGCTCATCAGTGAGGGACCTCATGAGCTCCTTATGATTAAGGATCTGTGATAGGAATCCTACAGGCTCCTTTTCCTACCTCCTTCTTTACAGTCAGCACTTATGGGGACCGTTGATGCACCAGTGTTTTGGCTCATTCATTTTAACTTCTTATTTTTCCTAAAATTACATATTAGCACCAAGGACAATCCCATATCGCAATATAGTTTTACTCAATACTAGTGACACGACTTTTACACACATTTCTGATATTTTTTATAACATTGTACGATTATAGCATTTGTCACCATCTTACGTTCTGTGTTTTATGTGCTTTGATTTTTAAACTAATAATTACTACATGTTAAATTATATTGGAAACTTGTTAGAATATTGTAATAAGTGGGCATTTTTTGCAGTCTTTCTGATGTTTACATTTGGTTTATATCAATACTGTAATTACTGTATATCGTATTGACTAAAAATAATAAAGATATTGTGATATAAGCTTCTATCTTCCAGCTTTAAAAGGTGATGGAAGGGGAGGAGGAAAGGAGGCACGACAGTAAAGCAGGAACCACTAAAAAACAAAACGAAAAGAAATGCCAAATAAAGACCAAGCATTGAAGGACTGGGTTGGCAATGGGTCTCTGCTACTGCAACCCAAATTATATTAGACCAAGAGCAAAATAATGGGTAGAATGAGGGGAAACCCCACTGTGTGTGTATTTGGATTGTCCCTTTTACAGTTAGCCTTGGCTCAAACCTATTGGCTATTTAGGACTTAGGACCTATTGACCTATTAACAGGTTAAATTAAAGTATTGGCAAAATATTTCTAATTAAAATTTTTTTTCATAATTAAGGTATCTGGTAATTTTTCATTATGGCTGATGTTAATGTTAATAGAAAAGCTTACCCAAGCAGTATGCTCTCTCAGGTAGCATCCTTTGTACTCTATACTGTTTGGGTGCTGTATTCTCCGCAGGAACTTCACCTCCTTGATTATATCTTGCCATTTCTGTGAAATCAGCATGAATAGCAAACAAGAAAGAAAAAAAAAATCAGAGAACCAACATATTATTTCACAAAAGATGCCATTCTGTTTTACTGGGTTGAATTCATCAAAGTCATTCCCCCAGAAAGCTCAGAAAGAAATTTTACCAATAAAGAAAAATCTTTAACCTTACTTCATTTAAGAAAACATAGTGGTTTGAGATAAATGTATTGCTTCTGCATACTACTGTGACAAAGTATGATTACACACCAAAACTACCTACATTTGAATGTAACTTTACATGTGCAACTGTTTGGGTAAACTTATTAAGGCATCGCATCTAAATATTACATTGTTTTGTTTTTTTCACTATTCTGTTAAATCTTAAAGAGTTTGCATTTTCTAAAGACAAACAAAGTACTTTTAATACAATATTCTTATAATGTGAACTGCTGCAGCACTACAAGATAAAGAAGCTAAGTATACTTAAATTTGTTTCTATCCAAGGAAAAACTTGATTTAAAATCTGAATAAAAAAGTTGCTTAAACAGAATGTTAGAGTTGCCTAATGATAATTTTTCTTGCCATAGAATCTGTAACTTTCTACAAACTGCAGATAAATACTTACTGGAATAACATAAACCATTGGGTAAGCTAAAATGAAGAAAAGTCAGATTTTAAGCCTGTCCCACACATTCTGACTTAATTTTATTATATACAAATATATGTTTTGACTTTAAGAATGCCAGTCAATGCTGCAACTTTAAATGGTTGAGACAGACTTTAATAATCTCAGGGACAGATCTGCACAGATGATTTTATTATGAAAAAGGTTTGGAAAGGCAAATATACCTCATTGGACTGTTTCCCACTGTAGGACATCTTCTTGATGGCCACCACATCATTTGTCCGCACATCACGTGCCTGGGAGGTGAAAATAACTGATTAGAATTTTAAGCGGTTTTACTACAAAATTTTCTTTGTTGCACTGAATGACAAAAATTGTGCTGTCAGACTTTTGTAAATTCTACATTTTATCTGTATGCATAGAGGCAAATTGCAAAATGTATTGTCTTAAGTATCAAAACAACAGTTTGCTACTGAAGCATTAAAACAAAAACATATGATGTTCAGATCATGAAAAAAGTATAATCTAAAAATCTGGTAGAATCGTTAGAAATAAATTTACACTTACATTTTTTAAACAAAGAAAGTCTTTTAACGCTAAAGTTCCAAAAGTATTGCTGAGGAACTGAACTACAAATTCATCTATAAAGATGCACCCTTGAAGCTGCAAACTTTTTTTTTTTTTATTCAGTAACTGAACAAAGTTCCTGCATAATATTTGATAGCAGCAATAGATTTAATTCCAAGAGCAAATAAATTTAAATGAAATCATTTCCATTTATGTATGACAAAATATTTCTGAAACCTTTATATAAACCGTTTTGTAGAAAACAAAATTAACAACACAAGACAAAAGAAAAAAAAAATACTAGAGGTCAACCGATAAAGTTTTAAGACTAATAGCAATTATTTTGACATCAGTCTTTCCGACCCCAAATATCTACTTCTGATATTTTTGGCTGATTATTGAAGCCCTTAATGCTTTTTCTTCCTCCAATTATGTGACAAAAGTGACAATGACGAAAAATGTTACATACATTATAAAGTTAGACAAAAAAAATAAATAAATAAATAAAAAAAAAATAAGAAGAAAGACATTTGTAAACCATTTAAAACAAAAGGATATGTAATGGACTAGCAATGTATGCTCTTTACAGGATCTCAACATGCCTGCTTAGTGCTCTAATTATTTGAAATAAAAATGCATACGTCAGCCAATACCTAGAAAAGAAAAAAAAATATCGGCTGATGTATCTCTCCATCAATATACACAGAAAGTTGCTTCTCTGTGTGTTTATACTAAAGCTGAAACAACTAATCAGATTAGTCGAAAAATTATTCGAGATTGAGAAAATTGTCAAGAAATCAAGCATTAAACATTAAATATTCTTCACTGAAGTATACAGACCCTAAAATATTTACTTAAAGAGCCCCCATTAAATAGCAATAGTACACAAATAGCGCAGTACAAAATAAAAAAAAAACTATTTTGCATTTAAAATAAAAAAATCTTTCTGAACTCTAAAAATCCTTTGTCTAGGATTCAAGTGACATTTATTTTTATAACCTCAGATTTGTTTGTTTTTAGTTTCCAATGTTTTTGCCAATTTTAATGCTTTTAAATGTTGACTTTTTTTTGTTTTACTTCAAATGCTATTTTTGGTATATTAACTTACTTATACAAATTTTTTTTTTTTTGTTTAATCGATGAGTAAAATGATTGACAGCTGCAGCCTTAGGTTACAAAGAAATAATAGGGTTTTGCTTTTGATGCATTTGATGAACAGCGATTGAAAGAAAGTAATAAATGGAAAATTAGTGGGTTTGATTAACAGGCAGGAGCATCATTACATATACAGTAAAATACTCACAAAATATACAGCTCCAAAGCTACCATGTCCAATTTCACTTAGATCTGTGTAGAGCTTCTCTGGATCCTCCCTGAAGAACAGTTCTGCGATTTCGGGGTCCTTCAGGTTCCCCGCCCGGCTATTATTGGGCATAATGAAGGGTTGGGGGCAATGCCGTCGTCGCCAGGAACTATCTGGGTCTGCGACAGCGACGGAAAAGCCCCCTGTGACGACTCATCTGCAGGACAGTGATTTCATATGTATTCTGAGCTGCAAGGCAAAGAGAAACAAAACTGAATGTCAGTTTGGATTAATTTAATACACGATAGATAGTTAATTCTGATCAATTAAAAACAACTTTCAAGCAACTTCCAGCAGAAAAATACCTGCCAAAACATAACCGAAGCAAATTGTCACTGCTAGTACAAAACATTGAATAGTATGTGCCTCCTTTTATACCTGAAAAAAATCTGATCAGAAATTACCAAAACTGTTGAAGAGGAGGGGAAGAGGGAAACCATCATTACCCAACACAAGTACTATTAAGGCCTGAACAGACAGGTTGCGTAAGACTTTTCAATCTCCAATCCGATTATTTTTTTCATTACACTTACCTGATTTTTCTGCCCCTTGTCAATTTTATTTGTTGTGATGCTCAAAGATCAATATTTTACTGTATCGTTTTTCTGTCCTCCTAAAGCCCCCCCCCCCCAAGGAGATTGATAAACTGCGGTTTCTGACCCTCATTGTTTTAGCGAGGCTCAAAGATGATCACGACTTTATTCATTTTCTGTCCTCCTGAACTCATATCGTGTGTCAAGTATTACATTTTTTTTATGTTTCATTGATTGTTTTTGCAAGAGTCTGTCCAGCTTAACATATATGCGATGTGCAAACCAGAATCTTTCCCTGTGCAAATAACAGGTTTTAATTAGTATTTTCCCCCAAAAGCGGATGCGTTTTACTATGTGACCACGTCTCTTTTCGTGTCACACCTATAAAATTGTTCCTGAGTTGTTGCGTAGTCCAACTAAAACAGACCTGGGGTCTGTCTCAGTCAGACTTACGCAGGCCCCCTTGCGTAAAATCTTGTCGGGTGTGATCATTCCCATTGACTTTGACTTAGGGGTGGGTATTGCCAAAGAAGTCACGATTCGATTCGAATCACGATTCACAGGCCACAATGCGATTCTATCACGATGCATCACGATACTTGAATTATTGCGATGCATTGCAATATTTTATCCTCCATGTTTTGTTTTTGGATGACTCTGCACAGTATCCCGCGGCCGGAAATGCTTGTGACACAAGGCAGCGTGCGTCAACACATTTGCAGCGACATCTACTGGACTGGAAGTTGTATTACACTTGTTTTTGGCTAATGTTTGCCAACCATTCATGCAATTTTATTTATTTATTTATTTTAATTAATAATCGATACTTGGCATCAAGAATCGATGCAGTAGATCACGAAAATTAGAATCACGATGCATCATCATGACGATTATTTTGCACACCCCTACTTTTAATGTGCGCTAAACAACATTTTCTGTCAGACGCAAAATTGGATTCGGTGTGTTCTGGCCTTTAAAGACACTACACATAACTGACATCACCAAATAATCATTCAACTGTCTAATTAAATTGTTAGCTATTAAAATCTAGAACAAAGTTATACAAAATGATTTTCATTTATGTGAAAGATTTTTCATTTGACCATCTGTGAGAAAGCATAAATGCATAAAGAGTCTTCAAGCAGCTAAAGGTATATGATAGGAGGAAAATAAAGGGAAAACAAAAATAAAGGGAAATGAATGTGCGACTTTACAAAACTAAGAGTCAGTACACAGACACTGAAGATTTTAACATATTAAAGAGAACACTGAAAAAACATACAGCTTTTTTTTTTTTCATTTTTGACCAGAAGACACACAAGAAATCACTTGATGGGAGTTGCATTAAGTCAGCAGAAGTTCATTCTTAGTAAGGATGGGCTGCATACAGAGGACTCAACTGATGTCCCAAACCCATTCCAAAAGTGGGGGAGGAATTATTAAAACATTTATCCAGTATACATCACTCTGTGGGTTTAATCAGAGTGCTTAGTATATGGGTTAGAGCTATATTCTATCCAGATCTTTGCTGTTTTGAGGCACTGGAAAACTTTTAACTAAGGGAAAAGAGAAGATTTAGGTGATGAAAACAGCCCCTGATCAAAACGAGCTGATTGTGATATGAAAAGTTATAAAAAACCTGCCACAACGAGAGAAAACATGATTTTGTAGTGTTATAATAAATAAATACTTTACTTTCTGCTGCTTATGACGGTTCAAAATTTGGGCATCTAAAAGTTCTTATAAGAAAAAACCTACCTAAAATATACTATTAGGTAAAAGAAAGAAAAAAAGGAAAAGAAAAATTACAGAAACAAATATCATTTCAAGTAGACAACTAGGCTGTCAAGATTAGAAATTCCATTACTTAACTGTTGTTATAACAGCCCTGCTAATGCAGACTGTAAAAGATCGCTGAGGAAAATTTACTGAGTCCATGCTTCTCAGATGATCAGTTGCAAACAGATGCAGAGCTGACGTTAGAGTCACAAGACTTCTTTCCCAGCCCGAGAGAAACAGCCTCCAGTTCCAGCAGACGTCTTTTGTCTCACAACACTGAACAACCCACTATTCTACACAGATGCAGCCGCAGCCATGAAATAAAACCTCATTACCATGCAGGGCTGTGAAACTTTATTTCCATTGTCCTTTATAACATTGGTGCTATTCAAGGAGCTTTGTTGTCATATGTCAATATACTGTTTTTTGTTTTTTGGAGCACAGACAAATCGGGGAAAAATGTCCTGGTAACTGATGCCTTCATATACCAGGACCAGCCTTTCAACCAGGACTCACTAAACACTTAAGAATGCAGCAGGACAGGACAACAAAGCTGGAGGGCTGGAATTCCCGGTGTATGCTCTCACTACACTGCGCAGCATTTCTCAGCACTTCCTGTTCGTACAGATCTAGCGAGGAAGGAATGGGCCCTAGTAAGAATCTAGACATGTTATATCTAGCATCCCTCACACAAAAGCAAGAACAAACATGCACTGAAAAATTTGACAGTAAAAACAAAACTAATTAAAAAAAAAAACACAGCAGGGAAGTAGAATAATCCAAATCAAAATCCATTTCAGATCCTAACAATTAAGTTGTTGCAGCTTACTGTTGACATTAATGTCTATCATATAATATTTACTAGAACAATTTTTCACAATACATTTGGTACTTAAGCATATACTTAAATATTCTGTGCAATGTCCAGTTTTCATCCCAAAATAGAAGTTGTTTACATTTTCGTTTAACTATTTAACAAAAGATTTTATTCTGGAAAAAATATTGTGATCAGAATATACATATGCTTCAGAGCCAAATATTAGCTGTCGCTGTTTAAATGGTGGAAAATATATTCAAACAGTAATAAAGAATTTGTTAATAGTTAATAAACTTAAAAGTCAAACCTTTTGAGTTTATTACCACACCTATTTTTCTTTTTAATTAGATTAAAAGGACAAAGATTACCACAGAATGTCAGTTTATAAAACGCTAGTTTTTACCTGATTTGGAAATCCAGCTATTGCATTTTAAATTAAAAGTAGAAGGGTTAGGAGATACACGTGGTTTCTAATTTTTACCCATAAAAGCAAACATTTCATTTGAAATCAAACAGAAGACTCATCCACATTACAAAATAAAAAAACAAATATAGTTTTCAGTAATTTGCTCTAATTTCTTTCCGCTGTGAAACATGAAAACATTTGGAAATTGGTTTACTTTACTAAAAACAGTTTAAATATTCAAAGTATGCTTCATAAGCCCAGGTGATTAGCCTACTGCTAGGGACTTCATCTCTTTTACCTGGGCGTTTCTGTTCATGTCAAAGTGATAACACACTTCCTTTAAAAATCAATTATCAATTTCTACATTGGTTAGTTTCCAGTCACAACACTACCAGTTATTTGGGTCTCAAATAGATTTTCACACAAAATAACTAAGACCTAAAATGTGTCTTTCATTTCAGCTTATGAAGGCTTCAAATGATTCACAATGTTGACAAGGTAATGTTAGCAGAAATCTTCACGCTAGCCAAGTTACGTATCTTGGTTTAAAATAGTTCAAGCAATGTTCATAACGTGTAAAGAGTTATTTAACAGCTCACAAACGATTGGGTTGTACAATTTGGTTCTAAATCATGCAAAATTTCAACCAAAAAAATAAAAATAAAAAAATACAAGCTTGTTGTTTGCTAACCTAGCTTAGCCGGCTAGCTGAAACTCACCCTGCTGACAGGCCAGCTCTGGGCGATGAGGAGACTGGTGTTCACTTAAAACAGTTTGGGGTTATAAAACACTTTTCCAGTTTCATTCCCTGGATGGGAGTTTTTGATGCGTTGAATCCTCGTGGTTCTTCGCGTTGTCAGCCGATTTCACCCTCCGTACGTCAGTGAAATGAGCAGAGATAGAAATAAGTTAAGTGGGGTGCCACAGTAGCCAGCTCCCACTCCCAGACTAGCTCCAAAGATGGCTGCCGAGCGCACCGCCGCCGCCTCTCTTCAGGAAAAATACGTTGGAGGAGAATTTAAAAAAAAAAAGTTTCAGCAACGCCTAAACACCCTAACCGCAGTATAACGCGAGGTCGTTCAACGAACTGGAGGTTTAATAGACCCCACTGATAGCTGTAACTTATGTTAAGATCCTCTCTTCGACATGTTTCAAACTGCAGTTCCGCCCTGCCTGTTGCAATAAACTCTCACTGACCCAGGAACATCCACAGGCGGAAACTCTGGAGCACAATTCACAACACAACACCTTTAAAGGTTCGTTCACTTTTAAAATGTAGAATACAAATAAACAACAACACCAAAATAGTAAAACCTACGGAAGAGGATTAGGGACACTGGAAAAAAAAATAAAAAACAGTTGACTGATTTTAAAATTTCAGTTTAATATGGGGAAAAGTCAGAATTCTGAATTTAATCTCAGAATTTTGACTTTTTTCCTCAGAATTCTGACTTTAATCTCAGAATTCAGATTTTTTATCTCAGAAATCTGACTTTAATCTCAGAATTCTGACTTTAACCTCAGAATTTTGACTTTAACTTAAAATTTTGACTTTAATCACAGAATTCTGATTTTAATATCAGAATTCAGCCATTTTTCTCAGAATTCTGACTTTTTTCTCAGAATTCAGACTTTGTTAATATTAATTCAGATGGGAACCATGAAGGAAGAGATGTGGGAGCACTCAGTTTCACTGACAAAGATGTGAGTGGTCGGAGTGTCGCACTGGTGAAAAATGACACAATTAAGCAACTTTTTACGTGCCCGAGGGGTCCCCCTTGATGCTATTTCATTAATGGAGGAGCAGAAGGTGATTAAAACAAGGGAGCTGATGTCCAAAAAAGATATGGCTACGGCTTGATGCTAACATGTTTGTTAGCTGTCAGAATTCAGTCAGAATTCTGAGATTAACTCAGAATTGTGAGCTAAAAAGTCAGAATTGTGAGATTAAAGTCAGAATTTTGTACTAAAATAAAATGTAAAAATCAGTTTTCTTTTTTTATATACTTTTTTTCAGTGGCCCTAATCCTCTTCCGTAAAAACCACATCCACCATTTTATCCAAAAATATATCCTCTTTGGAACACTGTAGTCTATGATTCAATTTAAACTGTATCATGTTTATATTTGAGAATGATGACAACTGTGTTTAGCCAAATGTTCCTCGATGAAAATTATTACCAGTATGACCTCAAAATAAGAAAATAGAATTTGAAACTGCATTTCATTTACATTTTAAGAATATTTTGAGACCAGATGTTTACATAGAAGATAAAATCACAGCAGATAGTTAATTGAAGGAACAACTATAGCTAATCTGCACTGCTTCATTGTATGGCATCTATAAAAATAGACAATAAAATGATTATGTGAGACATTAGGAAGATAATGTATGATTTGCAATCTGTTTAATTATTGGATACAGTTTTTAGTTACCCTAATGTCATAGAGTTAGTTGTTCAAACACATACATGTTATCAGCAAAATGGGAATGTCACGCTATCATAACACTAAGGGAGTGTTGTGTTTCCCATGGATTTTCATGTTTTTGTGCTAAATGTTGAATTATCAACTCCATCACAAAAGGAAAAATCCTATAGATGGCAGTTAAAAGTTCTTTTTTTTTTTTTTTAAGTTGATGTTAGAGTAAACTATTGTGAAAAGCTGTGGAATGTTATCGATCCAAAAATAATTGATCCCAGTAAAACAGTTTAAAGGCTATTCTATATGAAAGAAACCCACTATTTTTAAACTTCTAAATTTAAATAACATAGGCTATTTATGATATTGGAAAAAAGGTTACTCTTCTGGATTATTCTGGAATTTAGCAAATTGATGTATTTTCTGTAGTTCTAATAAAGAAATGAAGTCTTTTATACTTAATTAAATACATTCTTCAATTGTTTAGGGTTTGAAAAAAAAATGAAAACAGTTGACCTACAATAATCCTTTTCTTGTTATTGTGATTTATCTTTCAACACAACTAAGGTAGACAAAGAATCCTACTCCCCAAAATTTTTCTTTCACTTCAGCCATATTAAATTGAATGATTTTCAGTAGAAATTCACCCATTTAAATAGCCTGCAAAAAAACTGAAACAAATCATTTTGTATTTTTAGACACATTTGGTGCCTTTTAACTTTGGTCAACAGGCCCAATCCTGCTCAACAAAGCAATTTATCCCAATCTCAAGAGCCAAAAAAAGGCATAATATATATATACATATATATATATATATATATATATATATATATATATGTGTAATGATAAAATCAATAGTTTAATTTATAAAGCTGTTTTGACTTGATGATGTTGCAGTGGCCTGATATAAAAGATAATTTAAGATCCTGTTCTAGAACATAATTCCTCATGTTAGTGAACTGTCAGTTCATTGTGCATAACCAGTAATGTATTATGAACAGATCACATTTTTCACAAAATATAATGAAACTTTAGCATTTTGACTAATGTATTAATATATCAATTCATTTTGTAACCTTACGTATACTTAATTGTAAGTTGATCTTTCCAATATTTTTACCAATGTGTGAATGGCAAATTAAAAGGTTGCTAATATACATGATTTTTGGGCATTTATTGACCAGTAGATTGCAATATAGAAGTAACACATAAGAGTCAACAGAAGATGCTTTTATTCAAGTTTACTATGAAAATTGGGAAACATCTGGCAAGTGAAGGATTATATTTTTACTAAAATATGAGTTTTATGGAACTGTGGATGAAAATTTAAGTTTAAATTCTATATAATACAAACCAACATGTTCAAAATCAAAATATATATTCAGTGTTTTAAAAGCTGTGCCAGAGAGGTTAAATAGATGGCTTTGTTACAAGTCCATTTCCTTTACCTTGAATGAAACTATTTTCAGCTGTTGATTGAATTACTTATAGGTTTTTTGTAACTTCAGATGCGTTCAGTCCAGAAAACTGATTCTACATTTTGAATTAAAAGCACAACAATCAGCATAACATTTTATTATACCAATGCTATTCTTATATTATTATGTGATGGAGTGTTGAGATGTTTCTAGTGTCACAAATGTGCAAGTTTTATCTGTTGAAAATTTTCTTTTTTTTTACTGTAAAAAAACAAACATACAAAAAACTGTTTTGGATTTCTTTATTAGTGGATTATTACGTAGCTCTGGTGAGAAACTCCTCTCCACTGCTAAAAAGACAAACAAACAGGGTTATGTGGTCTTGATACCTTTTAAAATGTTTTCTCGCAAACAGAGCCCTTCCTTTGGCCAGGTGCGATTACCAGGAAGGGCAGTTCTATAGGAAGATTTACCACGGGGGTCAGGGTGGGGCCATGATTATTAAGAGAACATCCTTTTAGTGTATTAAGTGAGCCACAAAACCAAGGTTGTACTCCTGATCCAGCAGATGAAAACTGTGATTCTATCTCAGTATGACTGAAGCTTAAATCTGACTGTAAATTGTAAATAAATTATTATAAATTATTAAAGTAAATTGTCAAGGCAAAATATAAAATTGGTTCAAGGAATTTATCATGTATGGTCTATTCTGTGATCACACATCATCATAACAAGTTGATTTAGTATTGCACTGCAAAAACATCTTTTTACATTTATTTATTTATTTTGCTGTTGTGTTTTTTATTAGTACAGCAGCTACAACAGGGCCCTGTGTAGATCCCATGATTACCAAGAATGGAGCAATCCAACATCATCCTAATTCTTTAAAAAATGTTTTTTTTTTTGTTTTTTTTGTATTATTATTATCAAGTATTTTTTTTAATAAGAAGCTTCTATAACCAAAGTATTCAAAAAAGTCAAAGTTCAAGTCGTAGTTTTTTCCCCCATGATTGTACGGGGCAAAAGTGTTTAACAATTATATTTATTCGGCTTTTATTTTGAAGAAAAATAAATAAATAAATCTGAAGACACGCCTCTGCTTTAACGTCACATAAGTCAGGAAGTGCAATAATTGACATTTGCACGTGGTAAAAAAAATGGCTGCGAATGAGGAGAAACAACAAGGCCACAGAGCCGGCGTTTACAAACAGAAAAATAAAGGACATAAACATGGCAGACACAGGACGAAAGGGGAAATTGAAAGAGAAAACAAAGGTAATCCACGCTCAGCAGAAAAAAAGTGTTACCGTTTAGTCCCTCAGCGGTTGCCGCTTTGATTCTCACACGTGTCTTCAGCATGAGGAGCTCTTCAGGACATGTTATCTAATTTTTCAGTGGGACGGACTCAGTTTGGTCTGTTTCGACTAACTTTGTCAGAGTTTAGGATTTTCAAAGGTCTGCACCGGATCCCCAAGCAAGTATGAGATAGGAAAGTTTCCTGATTCTCAGATCCTATTTATGTCCTGCAGCCAGGCATCGATGCTCCTATCGTTCTCAAGACACAGGCGTGCTATTTAAAATTACTCTGCAAAATGAGATTAAACGATCCGTTGATTTATATAGAAGTTGTTCTTTAAATACTGCCAATTAAATGTGTTCGACATTTGTTTGACATGTCGACTTTTGAATCCTTGCATTACACTTCAAGGAGGTGGAGGAGGAATGATAAAGAAGCCTTTTATTTTGAGGATATAAATCCATCAGGCATGCTACTATAACGACTGAGTGATAAAACAAATAGTGGCAAACCAATGAGAAGGATCCGATGCAGGGTCAGAACCACATTCTGCCTTGTACGGCAGCAAATGTAGGACATAATTGTTAATCTTCTGTTGTGCTCCTGTTCTTTTTTTTTTATTTGACCAGAAAATTAAACAAAATAAATTATAGTAATAATAAATTACTATATTAATAATAATAATAAAATATTCACGAATAATGATTAATCGGAAATTGTTCAGTATTTTCATTATAAAAACAAAATGATATAGCTCAGGTTTTAATCCTCTTGATATTTCATGCCTTACATTAAAAAGCAAAGTGACAATAAATGAGTGCAAAGTAAAAACTTCCTTCTGTTAACTGTATTCTTGCAAAACACTCAGCTCCTTAAACATCCTTACACTGTGTTTCTTCCTAGGCAGGGTATCCGTGACAACCCTTACTAAAAAACAGAGGAAGGAGCTGAAGAAAATGGATAGAAGACATAAAGCTAACCAGCTTCGAAGAACCAAGAAAGACCAGGTAACATCCTTGCACCCTGGAGCTCTTAAATTCCTGATTGGTTTTGCAAACGTTAACGTT